GGGGGGGACTGAGCGGAGCGGATCTGATCTCCGACACGTCCGCAGGAAGCCGAGCGGGAAGAGTTACCTGAAACGGACACTGAGGACGACCACAGGTGTTTCTGTATCTGCTGTGACGCTCACTCAAGTAAAACGCCAGAGAAAGCCGCCTCGCACGTCGAACAGTTCCCCCCCCCCCTAAAAAAGTGCTTCCCTCGCAGTTCCAGGTCCAACATGGGAACACGTAACCCTCTGTCCTCGTGGAGCACCTCGTAGCACAGAATAAAAACTGTAAAGATTGTGTGATGCGTTCTGTTTCAACTACACAGCTACTCTTAACTTTTCTATATAGCTCTGAGAGAGATGGATAGACCTAAGCAATACCACAGACACTCTTACCGATGATAATCATTTCAGGATCTGGTTGAAGCGGTTACACGGAGCCTCCGGGCGGTCACTTTTATTTATGCAGCACATTTAGTAACAGGAGCTTGGCCCCGGGTGCTTTCCAGACGAGGCAGAGTCACTTGTGTTGTTGCTCTTTAGAAATGGTTTTATTTGCATGATGTACAGAGACTCTTTCGGTGAAGGCGTTTATGAGCCTGTAGTGCTTTCAGAGGGATCTTCTTCTCTGCTAACTTTGAAAGTCTGAAGTCAACATCCACTGCCCCCCCCTTTGCCAAAATGATAAGACACGAACAAAGGCGAGTAAACGTACAAACATCTGGAAGCTGTTTTACTTCTGTGCCACCCCCACATCTTGTTTTTCTTCCCCTTCTTCCTCTGATTTTGGTTCTAATGTGAAAGATGAAATCTGAGATGGTGATGTATGATATCTCTGGATTTTTGTATTAAAACCAACAGGAAAAAAAATGCTTGTTAGCCTCCCTGAGCTGCCCGTGTTTTCTTTGCAGGGGTTAGGTAAAGCTTTCGCGAGGACCAGGTTTTACCTGCTGTTTCAAACAAACTAACCTTGAGTGGAAGTGGGTCACGAAGCCCTCTGACACCGATGCGGGCTTAGTAACCGAACGTCGAGAATGTGCAGCAGCTGTTTTGTGTGAGCTGGAGGAAAATCCACACGCCTGCAAAAAATTTTGTTCTGTGTGATTATTTCAGGAGGACTGTTTCACCAATAAAATGAAATGAAATGGCTTTCACGATTTTTCAAATGGTGCTTCATAGTGTCGAGTGTTAAAAATCCCAATAATAATAATAAAAAAGATGAGTGGGAACACTTTAAATCAGAGTAGGAAGAGTTTCCTGTGGGTGATCTTAATGCAGCAGCCTTTATGAGAAAGGACAGGGCATCTCAGTCTCTACCTTAGACAGAATAATGGACGAATACAATATAAACATTTCATTCACAGAAACTTCAAGCACAAACTCGACCGTGAAGTCTGTGTGGACTCATGTGGCCTTTAGAAAAACTGCAGTTGCTGTTACTGCTGTGTTGGCTTGATTATCCAACACCAGGGGTTTCCCTTTTGTGTTAGCACTACCTCTTTATTTAGAGACAGTTCAGTGGTAACAAAGGTGATTTTGTACCTGTCACAGAGTAGGAAGGTGCAGGGTTTTTCCTGAATTCACC